AGGAGGCCTGCCATGTCATCGTCTCTCATTTCGTAATCGCAAAGAACTACATCAAACCATCACGATCCGTCAACAAAACTGTTTTGATCATCTCAAGTTCTATCCTAAAATTCTCCACACTCGTGCTATGATATCTGATGACCCATTACATCCTCGACATAAAAATCCAACTACACATCCACCTCTCCACCATGAACATCGCAAAAAATAATAATTGGCCCAGCTTGGAAGGAAAAGCAATAATGATTCTAAATTAGTATGGAATCGATCCAGACAACAGTGGACATTCATTTGGGTTTATGAGAAGAAATGTGTAACCCCTCACGAGAACCAAGTGGGGGGTGTTAACATTTGTTCACTAGATCCGGGTGTTCGCACATTCTTAACATGGGTTAGATATAATATTTTATTATTATAAACATCTTAAACTAAGTTATTGATTTCCAGGTATTCGTCTACATATGGCTCTGGTTGTATTGGCAATGGTGATTCTCAAAGGATTGTTTCTCTCTTTGCTTATCTCCCGCACAGCTCAAGCCTCCTCACGGAAACGAAATTCTATGCGCCATGCACAAGCTCGCATGAGATAACGTATTAAAAACCTCATTGATGAATGTCATCATAAAACCGCACTCTGGCTTGTTCGTAGCTTTGATGTCATCATAATTCCTCCTTTTAATAGTAGCCAAATGGCTAGGAGACGACATCGTAAAATTAATAACAGAACGGTGCGAAAAATGATGACATGGGCTCATGGTAGATTTCGCGCAAGGCTGATTTCAAAGGCTGAAGAGTTTGGAAAGGAAGTTAAGATAGTTGGAGAGGCATATACAAGCAAGACATGTAGTCGTTGTGGGTGGATAAATCAGAATTTGGGGGAAAAAAAATATTTGAATGTAGTGAATGTCAACTTCGGATAGATAGAGATGTAAATGGCGCCCGTGGGATTTTTCTCCGGGCTTTTTGTTGGATGGAGCTATTACTATCTTTTTAGATACGGATTAGACAATGATGAAATGATGTTGTCTAGCATTGTCTAGCATTGTCTAGCAATGAACATTCAAAGTCACGTACCACAAAAAGCAAATTTTTATATTTCTTAATATTAATGCTTTTGACAATTATATACTCAACTTTATTTTTACATAAGTGACCACGGAATCTTTCTCGTTATCAATTCTTCAAGCTTTTTTTTTTCCTATTTTTTTCATCGAACTTCCCTTCCTGAACAACTTTTACAATGATACGAATAACTCATTGCATATTTGACATGGATGGTCCGTTCCATTTTCATGATACTTGAACAGGACGATACAGTCACCGCACTAACTACTATTTACGCCTCATTTTGCTCAGGCCTTTTGTTGGTACAGTGTTAGTGTCGTAATATGAATTTTCGTTCGTATCTGGTACATAACCACGAAATGCCTTCATCATCAGGATACGGAGCGCATTTACACGGAAGTTACAAGTATGTCATTTATCTTTAGCCGAGATATTGTATGAACGCTATACGTTTATTCACGGACAAATATGTACTGTAGCGGAAATTCTTGCAAGATACGGCAAAACTTATGGATGGGAACTCAAGTCGCGCTTAATGGGATGTCGAGATCATGAAGTTAGTATTAAAAACTTTGGGTCGTTCTGTAATCATGTTGTACGGTATTTATTCTTCATTTGTATAAAGGCTGCGGAAATACTAATTAGAGAAACAGGCATATCGATGACTGCTGACGAATACTTGAGCGAGAGAACTCTGAAGCAGGTAAATTAGCGTGTAATAATGGTTTCTTCAACTGTTTTATGTTCCTCTAAACCTTGCGAATAGGAATCTCTGTTTGCTTACGCAAAACCACTACCCGGAGTTATGGTACGCTAGCATGTCTTGTACTGTGTACAAACGAGTTCCTTTCCCATACAGAAATTAATATAGATTGTCGATCATCACAGCGTCTCATTAAGCATCTTAAGGATAACAACGTTCCGATAATAGTAAGCACGTGTATATTTCTTACACGATCAATTAATATGTAGCATTGAACGTGCAATCTTCTTAAACCAGGTCGCAACAAGTTCTCATCATACCAGCTTCCTTCTGAAAGCAAAAAACAACCATGACCTTTTCTCGCTCTTCGGTAATAATATAGTGTGCGGAGATGATCCCAACATTACTCGTGGGAAACCTGCACCAGACATTTTTAATGTTGCACGTGAAAGACTAGGGTCTCCACCTGCTAAGAATTGTTTGGTCTTTGAGGATGCTATCAACGGAGTAGAAGCAGCCAAAAACGCCGAGATGAATGTACGTATACAAAACTACAATTATGTCTAAGCTTATACGTGGTCTTAGACGACGTTTGTTTTAAGGTTATCTGGGTTCCTCATCCTGCGTTGGCGGCAATACACAAAGATTACTTTGGAGCGACTGAAACCTTAACATCTTTGGAACATTTCGTTCCGAACAAGTATGGACTTCCGCCTTTTCCCGATGATGAAGACTATAAAGAATAAAGTGACTTCCATTACATAGAGGTGTCTTTTGTTGAGTTATTATTTGTTATGAGAGACAAAATCTTGGGTGTCTCTTGATTTAACCTCATGGATACACTTTCTTCTCTTTGAAAACTTTCGGCGAGTTTATTCTGATTCGCTTTTAAGCATGGTTCAATGTATCTTACGCGTATAATCTCAATTTACTATTATTTTGATTGTCCGAGTTCAAATCAATTTCCAGTAAAGATAAGTAAATCCCCTAAATACTATTACATTAGATTAAAAAATCACCATATCAAACGTCTCTATCTCTATCTCTATCTCTGTCTCTGTCTCTATGTCCTCTGTCTTTGCCCCTTTCTCTACCTGTCTTACGAGAAGTAGAGTGAGACAAATTATGGCTAGTATCTCGCCCATGCGCTTGTAATGCATCACGTCTCTTTGCCTCTACACGCTCCTTTATCCTATTGTAAAGAAGATTTTTCTGTCTATGAGTGTGAATCAAACCATCTCTTGTAAGCATTATATTACGTAAGTATTCGTTGCTATATTTCAGCTGATCCTTTAGAACATGTAAAATTTTGTTAGAAAATAGAAATAATAATTGTCCAAAATAAACCAATATTCTCACCAGCAATTTCTCGCGGACATTTCGCAATGTTTCTAATCCTTCGTCTTTTGATTCGACGACTCTTTTACCCTTATTATCACCAAGCTGCAAACCAATATTAGATACACCAAATCCACTGCCGCCTTCACTTTGTTCTGCTATGTATTCTCGTGTCAAGTGTTTCTGTATTTGCGGATTCACTCTAAAGTTTAGATGCTGATACATTATATCATCACCCTCCAAGGCGGCCATCAATCTCGTCAAAACTTTGTTACGATTCTTTTCTTCTTCAATCATCTGCATGAACGATTGGGCTAATTTGTCCAGTTTCTGATCCTTGAATACTCGTTTTAGAGCCGGTCGTCTAAGAACATCTTCAGGTCTTTCAATTGGCGCGAGTATTTCTACTCGAAGTTTGACGGGAAAAGTAAATGGATTGGAGGAATAAATGATTAAATGAAACTATCTAACTATTAATAGATAGAATATATTTATTACTCTGAATATGAGTTTTAAACCTTTCAACTTAGCACATGATGCACGTGTGCATTCGATGATTCTTACCATCTATTTTGATATCCTTATAAGGACTGTCATCCTCATCCCCACTGTATTCTAACATCCGATCCAAATTTCGAGGTATTTTATATATTATTGGACGACGTCGCCCGCTTGGAACAGGTATGTACTCCAGGTCATCGTGATAACCATATGGTGCGCGTAGCTTACTGCGAACTGTGTTTAACCTTTTGGCATGTCGCTTCAATTTATTACCGCGGTTATGAGGCATCAACCCAATCTCCGTCTGAGAACTGTTTTCATCTTCACTGTTATCAAGACGGAGGGAAGGATATTCTATCGTAACTACAGATTAATTCAGTTAACATTGATACAAATAGATAAAACTCGAGCTTCAAGTTCGAAGAAATACCTGACGTATGATGATGCTCTGTTGCCTGTAATCTGACAAATCGACCATATTGACTAGAACGTTAGATGCGTAAGTTCTTAAGACAAATTTTTTTAGACACGCTCGCGATATCAGCACTAGACATCTACTAACCTATCAGCGGCACCCATAGCGCTTGTACCAACACCAACGTCCGATGAAGCATCGATTGATTCAGTATCTATGTATTGGGAATAGCCTATAAAACTGTAATCACCACTTTCTTGTTTAACGTGTGTATATCTATCGTGTGCCATTAGTTGCGATGCACCGACTAAGACTTGTGCGGCTGCAACCGCTGCTGCAGACGATTGGGATGTTAACGTACGTGCTGGCAAATTGCGATTCATTGTAGCTGTTTGTGATGACGAATGAGGGGAAGCTGTTGGTGGTGGCGGCCGCTGTGTTGGCGGAGGCAATGGGGCTTGTATGGGTGTGTGCGAGGGCGTTGGTAATGGTTGCGTTGCTGATGGCATTTGAGTTGTCATTGTCGTAGTTGTTGATATTATTGCTGTTGGTAACGTTGCTGGTGTCGTTGCTGACGATGAAGGTGATGGATTTGATTGCATTGGCAGCGTTGACGAAATATTTTGTCCTGTAGAGCTTTGCGTTTGCGCTAATTGCATAGATTGAGATGATTGTGACTGTAGGGTTGGCTGTGAAGTTATCGAATGTTGTATGCCATGTGACACAGGAGGGTTTGCCGTTCCTGTTGGCGAAGCCGATAGGGAAGTCATTTGGTGAGTTGCATTTTGGAGCGTCGAAGAAGGTTGTAAGTTACTTGCTTGTAAAGGTACGGAGGAGTTCTGTTGTGGAGCTGAAGAATGTGAGACCGATGACCCAGAATTCTGCGAAGTATTCGGCTGTGATACTGCATTATGTTGTGTTAGTGGAGTATGTGTTGGCATTTGAGCGTGCGAGAGAGTCTGCGAGACGCTGTGATTAGCAGAAGACGTTTGAGTTCTTGCTTGTTGAACCGGCGTGATCAGAGAGGCTCGACCGGGTATAGCAGTATGGGCCGGCATAAAAACAGCTCTCGTATGAAATTGAGAATTTGAGAGAGAGCTTTGTCCAGATAAAATACTACTTGATTTATTCGGGCTCGTTGGCTGTGATTGTTGTAACAAAGTTGGCTGCCTAAGATTTGTCTGTGACGGTCGCCTTCCTGTCTGTGTCGTAGAAGTAGGCTGACCTGTTTGCATTTTGATGAGGACTGGCCAGACGCTCACAAGAGAATCCGTATTTGTGTGTTGGTGGCTTAGATATGTAGTTTGATTGGTTGGAAATTTGCAGATCTTGACAAAATTAAAATGGAAAGGCCCGCACTCAAAAATTTAAAAAATTTTATCCGTAATAGTAATGATGGAATTAACGGTTAATATTAATATTAAATGAATTACTATTATTATACCTACAATTTGGATGGTTTGCCAGAAACCTTAGAATCCATAGCTACAGGTCACGTGATTATATATTACACGAGTTGTCCGATATAGTCTGCCGCAACAAGATCTTCTTTGGGACAGACTGCAAAACTTATTATTATGGACTTGTTAATTTTAATGTTCACTTTATTATACCAAAATGCGATGAATATGAATATAAACCATAACATGATTAATATATTAATTAATATTAAGAATTATCCAACACTTTTAACGTATTAGTATATTCCCATATGTAAGATGATAATGACCAATGGATGTTTGAATATCGCTTGGTAAGCGGGAGAAGCAAGGTAAACACACCTATATGTGTCAATAAACGATTTCTTCATAAATAAGTCCATTAAATATCAGCATTGTATTTTATTCATTCATTAAAACAAACATATTACACGGTTTCGTTCGCGAAAGCAAGTCTGATAAAGTATTAACCCCCGAATATCTGGATTGGCATGCCGAATTAACTAGTTTACCAACCATTTTGACAGATAAGATTCGTTCTAATTTATATAAACCATATAAGAAAGAACTTGATGTGAGCCATGGCAATTATCAGAAGCTGTGACAAGTATATCAGAAAAACCTCAAAGTCTCTGATTTCAAGCCTATCATCTTCGAAGCCAAACCTGATTCATCAAATCCGTGTTAGAGCATTTCACATACTTAAAGTTCCGAAATAGTTTTACGGGATTGATAGTTATAATTTTGTATCTGCTCGGCCGGGGCTATTTGTCGTGCACAGTAGTACGGAGTAGTACAGTAGTACATCTAATAAAAGGACGCGACGCGTTCTACTCCGAGCTCTACCTTTCTTTTTCTTTTTACACTATGGCCTGGCACACATATTTTGATGAAACGAGCCTAAGACTTGGACTATTTATAGATTCCACAAGAATTGGATTCGTATAAATGAAAAGGACCATGACTATGGTAAAGCTGTGGATACACTCAAGAAAAGCCTCCGTGAGATTGCTAATAAAAGTTTGAATCTAAATTCAGAAAGCTAATAATTTTCTAAAGGCAAGTATATGTCTCTATATGGGAAATGTCCTCCGAATAATCTTTTAGATAATTGCGGTTGTCTACAACAAGGAAGGCACAACTTTTAGTCGTTCTTCTAATAATCTTTTAGATTGTATTGTGGTTTTGACATTGCATGACTAGGAGGTGTGACGCTTTTAGCTGGTCCTTTGACAGATTTTTTAGAGTGTCATGGTTTTCCGTACTGACTATTCCTAACATGCAGTAAATGTTTTACTTCCTAAATCGGAATCAATAATATTTCCCCTTTTTCATCGTCAGAATTATAACCCAGCAAAAGAATGAAACAATAATACGATCGATACTAATTCCAATAATTTCAATAATAAATAACGAATATAATATTCTATTACCAGAGATGAAGCTCCCAGGGAAGTAGTTCCGCTTCCGGTTTTACCTTTCAGCGGTAAATAACTTACTTTTTCCGCCCGGAGGAAAGGTTGTTTATATATGAATTTTATATGACTATTCGAACTCGTCACTTCTGTTCCATTCCCTCTCAGATCGAACTATGATCAAGTGATCAAGTTGGTGTTCGAAATCCAAGTTATACAAACGAGTCATAAAAATCAAGAATACAAGATGCTGACAAAAGCGCAATTTTTAAGTATAAGGCTTCACCTAAGACTCCCAAAGCTATTAAAGAACAAGTTTCGACGTTTAATAATCTTTTACTAATACTAATGTTTGAGAAATTAATTTTACTAAAATAACAATGTAGCAAAAAATAGGAGGCGTTTATTTCATTTCACCTGCCAGAAATTTCCCCAGTATTATTTCGAAGTTATCCTTTCTTGGTAGGTTTTTCGGTGAAATAAACTAGACCCACAAAAATTGGTTCGTAAAGTGCGGTGCCACTTTAGTTTCTAGTTGCTACACCTTAAAAAAGCAAGGAATTGGGCGGTGGCTGGGCGGATACCCAAATTTATTTTACCCGAATAATCACTCGTATTCACAACGGAACTATTACTGA